TTCCAGGATTGATTCAGAGATGCAATAACACTACTGAGAACCCAGGCTCTTGCTCTCTTTACCCTCTACCATTCTCACTGTGTCACAGATATTTATCTTGTTGTAAGATAACAAGCATTATGTTTTTATTATCCAAAAGTAGAAAAGCAGTGCTGGGGTTTCTCCTGGGTGGGTATTCCTTTATAGGGAGGACAGTCTGCCTTAAGTTCCCCAGAGCATTTCCCATACATCTCCTTGGCCACGCCTATACTAATCACTGGCAAAAGGAAATGTGATTGCTATGATTGATTTAAGCCAACCATGAGTCATTCCCCAGGGCCTGGGGAAGCTCTCACCTTCCTTGAGTTCATTATTTTGGAAGAAATTCGGTATCTGCTAAGCCAGAAAGAAGATAAGGATGGCTATTTGGTTCATAATCAATAGTGTCTGTCATCCCATTCTTACTTGGTTTCTGATTGTTCATTCTCAGTGTTTTTCATTGTCTTGATTGATATGTCCCGTAAATGCTGGGCAACTAAAGTTCTGCCTTTGATTCTTTCAAAAATTATTCCTTTTTTCCACTTTAAAATACCACCTGTGTTATAATATTTTCTTTTTTTTTTTTTTAAGATTTTATTTATTTATTTGACAGAGACAGGGCAAGAGATGGGACAAAAGCAGGGGGAGTGGGAGAGGGAGAAGCATGCTTCCTGCCAAGCAGGGAGCCCAATGCAGGGCTTGATCCCAGGACTCTGGGATCATGACCTGAGCCGAAGGCAGATGCTTAATGAATGAGCCACCCAGGCACCCCTGTGTTATAATATTTTCTAAAGCTTTATTTCAGCTAAGACTTTTTTCCGAAGCCCCAATTCAGAATATCCAACTCTCTCCTGGACATCTTCAACCACATTCAATTCAATTAAATATTGTTTTGCTAGGTTTTGGAGAGTCAAATAAACCTTTTTCCTATGTGATCTTACATTATAGTTGGGGAGTTAGCCAGAGAAATGAGTTGTTATAACATAGATAGTAATTAAGAATGCAGTCTTAGCAAGCGATAAAATTTACCAAGTATATAAGTAACATAGATGAATGGGTTATTTGAGGGGAGGTAGGCATGTTCTGGTGGATTTCCTTTCCCCCTTCAAATGTACTCTTCCTATATTCTATATTCTATATTCTATACTGTCATTAGTAGCCCTGTCACAAGTAGCAAGTAGTACACATTCTACCTTTTTACTACTTATATTTACTCATTTGTCTTTTTACATCCCACTCATACTTTAGGTCCCTGTAATTTCTCACTTCATTGAATTGTACTTAGTAAAAGTTAATTGAATAGCAATGTACTATAGGGCTTTGTACTAGGGGAAAAAAAGGTAGAAAAAAACCCCAAAACTGAAACTCTCAGGGCTGTTAGAACCCCGTGGGTGAGGCACAAACACAGAGATGATTATGTAATTGTGATGGAGTAGAGATATGGGGGGGATATGGAAACTCAAAGTCAAGGGAACCTAATCCAAGCTGGCCCTCAGATTTGCCCAACCAGAGGCTGAGTCTCAGAGTGGTAGTAAGCTCCGGGCAGAGAGGGAAGAGTGGAATACACCCACACGATTTCCTTTGTACATACCAAAGAAATACCACTTCAGAGACATTACTTTGGAGGCTGTACTTAATATCGCTCTTGCTCAAGAAGAGTTTTTTAACTGACCATCATTAATTTAGAGAATTACCGGTAGTGTATATCGTACAGTTGATCTTTCAGGATTCACCAATTCTGTACTTTCATATTTGCCCTCACTAAAATTAATTTGTCTCCCTGAAAACAGTACTTGGGATGCTTTCCCAGTCATTTGCAGACATATACAGAGGCAAAGCAGCAAAAAAATATGAATCTATGTTCCCAGCTGAGATCCAACAAGGCGGTGCTTTGACTTCTTATTTTAACTCTCATAATAAGCCTTTGTGATCTATTAGTGCATTTTTGTATCTTTTGCATTTGTATGCATTTTGTTGGTGACGTCACTGTTTAAAGAAATGTTTCAACACTGGGCTGAATTGCTGTCTGGTGTTCCTAGACACAAGAAGGCTGTGATGTGCCTTATGGAGAGAATCCATGTGTTAGATAAGCTTCCCTCAGGCATGAGTTACAGTGCTATTGGCCATGAGTTCAATGTTAAATTGAATGAGGTGTCTTGAAACAGAAACACATAAAACAAGATTATGTATTGATGAGTTGACTTAACCCTGCCATTTCCCTTAGGGGCAATGGTTCAATATTTGCTAATTCAGCATCCATGACAACTTTATAGAACATAACTATGGCAAATAAAGAGAGTTGACTATTTTGTGGGTAAATCTGATTTTGGGAAATAACCCAAAAGAAGTCGTTTATGGCCAGGAGGGATGGGTTAGATGAGGATGGTTAAACTGGACAATATAGAGGTTTGATTACTAAAGTCTTTGTCAACCTTTTAAAACATATTCTGCCCTTGTGATGAACAAATAGCTTACTCACCACCCTAAATATTCTAATATATTCCCCTTAGCAGACATGCCTAGGTTGAGAATTAGTGTACAAGTTTTATCTTACCACCAGCCGGGCTGATGTTTTATAGTGAAAACTGTGTTTAATAGCAAAAACTACAGTTTTTTAAAAGTTTACTAGATACAATAAAATTTTATTATGGTGCCTGCTTAGACTTCAGTCTCCCTCTAGTCAAGAATAATTTATATAAAGCAAGGGTTGGCAAACATTTTTTGGTCAAAGGCCAGACAGTATATTTTTAGGTTTTGTGGGCCAAGGTCTCTGAGGCAACCCCCCAGCTCTGCCACTGTATTGCGAAAGTGGCAACAGATACTAGGTCCTATTGTATATATTTGTATTGTATACTCCTGATACTGTTTTATCCTTCATGGCATGTAATACATAGTATGCAATAACTGTTGAGGCAAACTTCCTGATTTAGCTTAGATAACCAAAAGGCTATATTTTAAAATATTTAAAAGTCAAATGTTAAAAACCATCCATTTAAAATTATTCTTTGGGCACCTGGGGGGCTCAGTCAGTTAAGCCACCAGCTCTTGATTTCAGCTCAGGTCATGATCTCAGGGTTCTGGGATTGAGCCCCAAGCTGGGTGTGGGGCTCTCCATCAGAGGTGAGTCTGCTTGGGTTTCTCTCACTCTACCCCTCTTCCCACTCTCTCCCCCCGTCTCACTTTCTCTCCCCCCCGCCGCAAATAAATAAATCTTTAACAAAATAATAACATTAAATTATTCTCTTTTTAAAAAGATTTTATTTATTTATTTGACAGAGAGAGAGAGTCAGAGCACAAGCAGAGGGAATGGCAGAGGGAGAGGGAGAAGCAGGCTCTCCACAGAGCAGAGAGCCTGAAGCAGGACTAAATCCCAGGACCCCAGGATCATGAGCTGAACCGAAGGCAGACTCTTAACCAACTGAGCCATCCAGGTGCCCACATTAAATTATTCTTTTTTTTTTTCAAGATTTTATTTATTTATTTGACAGAGATCACAAGTAGGCAGAGAGGCAGGCAGAGAGAGAGGGGGAAGCCGACTCCCTGCAGAGCACAGAGCCTGATGTGGGACTTGATCCCAGGACTTTGGGATCATGACCTGAGCTGAAGGCAGAGGCTTTAACCCACTGAGCCACCCAGGCGCCCCCACATTAAATTATTCTTGAATCCTATTTTTTTCTCTTATCTTTAAATGTCCTTCTTTAAGCAATTATAGTAGTTTGGGCGTGTTGTATTTGGAATTAGGCAGTCAACTGCCTACATTTATAGTAGTTGGTGAATACTATAGAACATGTTGGCTTATTTAATACATTTCCTCATACTTAATGTTTGGTAGGTTGTAATAAAGTCTTTGAATCGTAGTTAAATCACAGTAGCAGTGGTTTAATTATTATGACTTTATTAATGCAATGTATTATAAAGATAATTGATAGCTTGGGTTAGGTCCTGATTTAAATGAAAAGAAATCAATTTAGAGTTATAAACATTTGGAGAGCTAAACAAACTTGCTAGATAATCAGTTTATTGCAGTTTTGACTAAGATTCTAATAGTTCAGTGAAATAGCAGCCTGTGTTCTGCTTTCCTGCCTCTCCTCTGTGCTAGACATTTTTTCCCCTTGTATCGCTTGTCTTATTCTGAAGAGCTGTTGGCTTCACTGTGGCTACAGACTACTCCCCTTTCTCTAGCCACCCAAGTAGGTTTTCCAGTGGATTCTGATGCCTTCTCTGACTACTTGTGAGAGGAGAAACTTTAGAAAAGAATAAAGAATAAAATGAGGGGCGCCTGGGTGGCTCAGTAGGTTAAAGCCTCTGCTTTCGGCTCAGGTCATGATCCCAGGGTCCTGGGATCCAGCCCCACATCGGGCTTTCTGCTCAGCAAGGAGCCTGCTTCCTCCTCTCTCTCTGCCTGCCTCTCTGCCTACTTGTGATCTCTGTCTGTCAAATAAATAAATAAAAATCTTAAAAAAAAAGAGAATAAAATGAAAAATCACAAAGGTTCCTCATTTTTGCTTCTACTTACAACACTGTGAAACTTTGTATACTAAGTGAACTGTGTATACATGGAGCCATTCCCACTGCTTTAAATGTAAAGTATCATTTCAAAATGATACAGTATCTTTTTTTTTTTTTTTTTTTTTGAGAGAGAGAGAGAAAGCATGTGAGAGAGGGAGAGGGAGAACAGGAGCAGTGGGAGGGGCAGAAGGAGAAGCAGGTTCCCCGCTGAGCAGGGAGCCTGACAGGGGGCTCGATCCCAGGACCTGAGAGGAAGGTAGACTCTTAAACACTGAGCCACCCAGGCGCACCACAAAGGTTTTTTCCTTAAAGATAAAAAATAGAATACTATTTTTCAATGTTACTGAGGTAAAATTGACAAAATTTTAAGATATTTAAGTGCACACTGTGATAATTTGATATATGTATGCATTGTGAGAGGATTTCTCCCCTCTAGTTAATTCACATCCATCACCTCACATATTTACCTTTGTTAAGACAGTAAATGCTTCACAAATTTGCATGTCATCCTTGCACAGGGGCCTTGCTAGTCTTTCAGTGTTATTCCAATTATAGTGTATGTGTTGCTGAAATGAGCACTGGGATACTATTTTATAAGTAAAAATGGAGTTTTCTTTAGAGTGCATCTGTTAACATTTTATTTCCCGTAAATGTACATGTGGGAAATGTGTATGTCTGATACTTAAGTTCTGAAAAATTGGATCATAGGGCTGGTGATTTGTAGAAACCTCTATATCTACACTGTGTAATACAGTGACCACAAGCCACATGAAAGCTAAGGACCTGAAATGTGGCTACCTGAATTGAGATGTTGTATAAGTGTAAAATTCATACTGGATTCTGAAGACCTAGCATCAAAAAAAGAGTGTAGAAGATTATTATTATTGATAGGATTTAGAAAGACGGTCACAGAGAGGGTTTTCAGTTTGGACAGAGAATGCAAAGCACAATGGAAAAGAGCATAAAATGTATATGATACAACAAAAAGACTGGTCAGATTACAGCATTGGACTTAGGAAGGCACACATTAGGAAACTCACAAAAAAAGTTATGGTCAGATTGTTGAGGGTTTTGAATGTTATTTTTGTTTTTAAGTTACTTAACATTATTATCTTTATAATGGTTACATGTTGTGATGGTAATATCGTGGGTTTATTGGGTTAAATAAAATACATTATTAAGATTAATTTTAATTTTCTTTTTATTTTTACTAAAATGTGGATTCTAGAAATGTTTATAATGATATATGTGGTTCACTTTATATTTCTGTTGGACAGCATTGCTCTAGGTTATATGATCTTTCAACATAGTCAAAGTGTTATAATCAAATGTCAGTTTACAAGACCCGTTTAAAATAACCTAGAATTCAGGGCGCCTGGGTGGCTCAGTGGGTTGAGGCCTCTGCCCTTGGCTGGGGTCATGATTCCAGGGTTATGCGATCGATCGATCGATCGATCGAGCTCTCTGCTCAGCGGGGAGCCTGCTTCCTCCACTCTCTCTGCCTGCCTCTCTCCCTACTTGTGATCTTTGTCTGTCAAGTAAATAAATAAAATCTTTAAAAATAAATAAATAAATAAATAAATAAATAAATAAATAAAATAACCTAGAATTCTATAGTTTTTTTTTGGCTCTCTGATTCAGTATTAAAAAGTAATGTAGAGAACACTTTATTTTAACTAATTCCAAAATGCTAGGAAAGTATGAGATTAGTTCACTGTATATTCACTAGTCTTCTAGTAAGTTTTTCAACAACTTCTTGTAAAAAAGTGTACAAAGAAAGGCAAGTTGTTACTGGGCTATTTTATTAGGATACTTTTTTTTGTTTGTTTGTTTTAACAAGGAATGCCTTGTGGGAAGGAAATCTATTTTTTTTTTTTTTTTTTAAGTAGGCTCCACACACAACATGGAACTTGAATTCATGACCCTGAAATCAAGAGTTGCATGCTCTACTGACTTAGCCAAACAGGTGCCCCAGGATACATTTTAATATCATCACAAAATAGAATCAGTTCTACACTCTTAAAAAAGGAATTTATTTTTTAGGTTTTTGCTTATTAAGTCATCTCTACATCCAACGTGAAGATTGAACTCAATGACCCTGCGATCAAGAGTCACACGCTCTTCCAACTGAGCCAGCCAGGTGCCCCAGGGAATTTTATTTATTTGTTTGTTTGCTTAGTAAGCTCCATTCCCAGAGTAGAGCCCAATTCAGGGCTTGAACCCCTGACCCTGACTGAGATCAAGACCTGAGCTGATTTCAAGAGATGGATGCTTAATTGACTGAGCCACTCAGGTGCTCCAGAAATTATTTTTTAAAAAACAAGATATTTCTGATTCTTGGTGTCTTCAGATAACTCTAGTAATTTTTACAAACTTTTTAAAAAAAGATTTTATTTATTTATTTGACATAGAGAGAGAGATCACAAGTAGGCGCAGAGGCAGGCAGAGACAGAGGGGGAAGCATGATCCCTGCCGAGCAGAAAGCCTGACTCGGGGCTCGATCCCAGGACCCTGAGACCATGACATGAGCCAAAGGCAGAGGCTTTAACCCACTGAGCCACCCAGGCACCCCAATTTTTATAAACTTCTTAAAGCAATTACATGTTATCTTATTTTTTTGAAGACAAGTACTTTTACATTTTATTTATTTTAATATTTTATTTATTTATTTATTTATTTATTTATTTATTTATGGAGAGAGGGGAGGGGAGGGGTAGAGGGAGAGATGGAATTTTAAGCAGGCTCCACATCCAGTGGGGAACCCAACGTGGGGATCAATCTCATGACCTTGAGATCACGACCTGAGCCCAAGTCAAAAGTGAGCCACCCAGATGCCCCGTTTGTTTATTTTAAAAGTTTATTTTTAAGTAATCTCTATACCCAACGTGGGGCTCAAACTCAAAACCCCAACATCAAGAGTTGCATGCTCCACAACTGAGCCAGCCAGGTGCCCCTGTACTTTTAAACTTTGTTGTAAATTTTTCTTTTGTAAAGGCCATTAAATCAATAAAATTAAATGTGTATCTTTTATTATAGTGCTTTCTGCAGGAAAAGTGTTATAAAATCAAGCAATGACACAGTATTAAAACTTGAAAATTTTGGGAGTTACCAAAATAACTATAGTAATAAAGTGCTGGGAAATTCCAATGGTACAGACAATAGTCCATGGAGAATTATGACTAATAAAAAGTCTTGTCAAATACCTGGGACATCTGGGTGGCTCATTCAGTTAAGTGTCATGATCTCAGGGTCCTGGGATCGAGTTCTGCATTGGGCTCCCTGCTCAGTGGGGAGTCTGCTTCTTCCTCTGCCTGCCACTCTCCCTGCTTGTGCTTTCTGTCTCTCTGACAAATAAATAAAATCTAGAAGGAAGAGAGGGAGGGAGGAAGGGAGGGAGGGAGGGCAGGCAAATACCTTTAAAAAGGAAGTTTGTTTTTGGGGCGCCTGGCTGGCTTACTCAGTATAGCATGCCACTCTTGATCTTGGGGTTGTGAGTTCGAGCCCCATGTTGGGCATAGAGTTTACTTAAAAAAATAAATGAAGTTTTTTTCAAAGACCTAATGAATTAGCCCTTTTTGGGAGCAGTCATTGTTAAAACAATGGTATTCAAAACTCCCAAAAATCTGACCATAACTTTTTTTGTGAGTTTCCTAATGTGAGCCTTCCTAAATCCTATCCTGTAATCTGACCAGTCTTTTTGCAGTATCACATACATTTTATGCTCTTTTTCATTGGGCTTTGTGTTCTGGGTCCAAACTGAAAACCCTCCCCGTACTCCTCTTTCTAAATCCTATCAATCTTTTAAGACCCTGCTTATATTTAACATTTTTCTTTTATAAAACTTCCCCATAGTAGCCCAAGATGAGCATATAATTAACATTTGTATATATTTTATTTCTGTGAAACCCTTTCACATATTTTCTCATTTTTTATGTCAGTAAACGAGATAGGTATTGTTATCTATTTCATAGAATAAAGGCACTGAGTCTCAGAGAAATAGTCATTTTTCCATTTTTCCAGAAGTTCATATAGATACTAAATAGTGAAGCTAGGAATATTAAGACCAATTCCTCTCATTCCAAGTTTCCTGATCTTTTCTCTATAGCTTAATATAGTCCCTTAAATCCTGTAACAGTTACATAACACACTTATTTAAAGCTATTAATTGTTTACCCTATTTGTACCAAACTGTTTAACTTGACTGTTAGCTATAGGTTTGAAGGAATATATACAGATTGTCCATGGGGAGGGGGAATAAATGGAAAAGGTGAAGAGAGCTGAATATGTTTCTTGATAATAGAATCAAAGAGGTCATGAAGAGCTCTTTACCAGTCTGCTTGCTTTTCTGAAAGCATTATACTTTTTAAAAACTGTGATACCTAGCCTTGCTCCTTTTCCTCTACCTACATGAGTGTGAAATTTTTAGTATAATTCTTAAAGCAGAGCTAAACAGTGAGGTCTTCCCTGACTATCCTGGAAAAAGTGGCCCCTCTCCATCAATCTGTGCCTTAGAAATGTTTAAAATTTTTCTTCAAACTACTAAACTACTAAAATTCAAACTACTAAAATTCTATCATTTCTTTATTAACTCTTTTCTTGGTTGTCTTCTCCCACTAGAATGTGAGTTGAATGAAAGGAAGGATGTTGTGTATCTCGTTTATAGTACATAGTAAGCACAGAGTAAATATTTGCTGAATGAAACACTTTATTCATGGAGAATGTTCACTATGATAATATCCACTTTTAAAACAAGTTTTATAGTACTCATCAAATTCTATACAATATGTACTCAAATGTTATTGACTGTTTAATTCCAAATACGAGTCCAAATTACTGTAATTGCCCAAAGAAGGACATTTTATAGTTAAGAAAAAAGTGGGATATTTAGAACATTTAAATAGGGTTAATGTCTTAAAGACTTACCTTAAGTTTACTTATTCTGTCTTATAACCCAGATGGAATAAGAAATAAATCTCTAATATTTTTCTATTTTTTTTCCTCCTAAAGATAAATTTGCATTTGAAATGATGACAAAATTTTTACATATTGTAACTTATGGTCAAAGTCTAAGGTCTTTCTACAAGAATGAAAATTAGGGGTGCCTGGGTGGCTCAATTGGTTAAATGTCTGCCTTCAGCTCAGGTCATGATCCCAGGATCCTGGGATCAAGCCCCACATCGGGCTCCCTGCTTGGTTAGGAGCCTGCTTCTTCTCCCTCTGTCTGCCACTCCCCCTGCTTGTGCTCTCTCTCTGTGTGTCAAATAAATAAAATTCTTAAAAAAAAAAATATGAAAATTTAGCATCTGAGTTCCAAACTTAAAACAGAAACTGCAGCAACAGGAACTAAGGCTAGAAAGATCTGACTCTAAAATCAAAGATACCGGGACACCTGGGTGGCTCAGTTGGTTGGACGACTGCCTTCGGCTCAGGTCATGATCCCGGAGTCCCGGGATCGAGTCCCGCATCGGGCTCCCAGCTCCATGGGGAGTCCGCTTCTCCCTCTGACCTTCTCCTCGCTCATGCTCTCTCTCACTGCCTCTCTCTCAAATAAATAAATAAAATCTAAAAAAAAAAAAAAA